ATTGTTCCCGAAGATAATAAACAAACATTTGCATAAAGCACATTTGTCCACTCATATGTTGATAAGAGTATTACAAACTGGAAAAATATTCCTCTAAGGTACATTTAGAACAAATAAAAAATGTGCGATTGATTTGCGATTAATCGCGATAAAATATTTTAATCGACTGACAGCCCTAATTATATATCATATTCTCAGTTTAAACAGCAACCGTTGTGTGTTTAGCATTTATGAGTGAAATCAACCCACTTCTATTCTAACAGCTGAGAGTCATTTTGAGCCAGTCCAATATGCATGTGTGTATAGAGAGCTGCGTGGGTGGGCGGAGGTGCTGGTGGTTTGGAGAGTAAACATTTTATTCATTCATACCCAAGTGAGATTTATCCTTTGCTATTTAGCACATTTACCTCAACATGAAGCCTGATCTCACCGGGAAGTTCGGAATTATTCTTATGAAATTATATTTGTAAAAAAATGTGATAATATATTAACACACTGAGGGTTCGTCGAGGTGAAATAAATAACACATTAACTGAATATATAGGATGGTAAATATGTTTGGTAAAGTAAATGGCCAATAAAAAAATGTCAAAATCAAATCATTTAGTTTTCATTTTAATAAATTACAATATAACAATGACCCAGAAAAAGTGTATTGAGCATTCTTATATTTTAACATACTTTAAAACATAAAATGAAAGCCAAACGAACCACATTTGTATTGTGTAAAGCAATTATAAACTCCAGTTTTTCACATACTGTATGGATGAGAATGGCATTTCTATCCCTAGAAGTTTAATATGACCAACATCTATTTTAATTGTTTGATAGTAGAATGTCCCTGTTTCCTTAGTTGCTGATCTTTCTCATAACACACATTTGGAACAGCATTGAATGCGTCAGTCTGACCATATTTTCACTATAGCTGTTCTGATCGGTAGTCATCCATGAGGGACCATTTAGCAACATTTCAATCTGAAAATCTTGTTCTCAATCAATTGATTAGAGAATGCACCAATTTCGAGGGATCAATAGTATCGGCTGCATTGATTTCTACAGTCCACAAGAGGAGCATTCAGGGAGGATGCACTATCATTTTAAATTAACAGATTATTCATCAGGTTTTTTTTCAGAATGATGTGAGAACTATGGCTACATTTCTGATATAATATTCCTTTTATTTGTGTATTTTCACACAGTAGATTGAAACCTCAAACAACCATGTGGTCTGGTAAGATCATGCCTAAAAATAACTTTAAGAAAACCTCTCTTTGCTATTTACATACAGCACAGTGTTTTTCTCAGTAGTCATCCAGTAAAACAAGGGTCACTGCTGACTCCACAGCCCTCTGGCCCTTGTTCTCACTTGCAAAGGTTGTGTTTTTTTCTTCCTGTTAGTCAGACTTTTACAAGCAACATTCCTGCCTCCTCAACAATTGGACTGCATCAGTTCCTGCTATCTTCTCGTACGAAGAAGGTGGCGAGCGAGCCGAGGGGGCCAGCCCGTGCAGGGCATTGGGAGGAGGGGGGAGGTGCGTGTCTGCTGGCAATGAGGGTGAGTAGATCAGTGCGGCTCAGAGTCTGTGAGGCGGTGATAAGATTCCAGGATTTTCCCAGTGTGACAGGCCTGCTCACCAAGCCGTACACTCCTCTGCATGAAGAAACCCCCCCTCCCCCAAACCCTCGGGCTGCTACACCTCAGCAGCCCCTGTCACCTGCAGCCACACCCCAAACACAAAATCTTAATCTCTTAGTTTTTTCGGTCCCAGGTGAATAAATGTGAAATACAAAAGTAAGTATTTCTACTTTCCGGTTGTGTGCTTTCGACACTACACTAGTTGTGCTGTCTCTTTCTTTTTCCTCTGGCTCAATTCTCTTCCTTTATCTCAGCCTCCCCCTCCCCTCTCCCTCGGATGGCAGGTCAGGCAGTGAGCTGTACGGGCTCAGAGGAGGTAAGGACGCCGCGGTGCACATTAATAATGAAAGGCCTTAGCCACCACT